TGTCCTTTAATTGGAAAAAACTCCCTTGTACCCTCTCGGGTACGAAAAAAGGAGGTGTGACAATCTAGATAAATTATATGTGCTTTACAATAAGGTTAGTTGTACAAAATTCATTGCTTGAAGATATTCTTTTTTGGTGCTTAATAATTTGGAGGTTTATTTCCTTTATTTGTTCATGATCATAATTGTGATGATTTTTTTTATTTATATTTATTTTAGTTTGATGTGTTTGATTAATTTTAGAGATTAAATTGTGGGATTATTATAATTTGAATTGTTAGTGATAGATCTTTAATTTATCTTCTAGTTTACAATTATTATAATAAAGTCATTAAAGTGCGACATGAGCTATTGTTAATTATGTTGAAAAGTTTAATTATGATCTTTAATTAATTAATTTTTTGTGAAAGAAGATAATAGAAAATAAAAAAAAATGTATCAATTTTTCTCACATATTTATTTCTTTCTATTCTTTTATACAATGATATTATTTAAGCTTTTTTATCTAAATTGATACTTAAATTTATAACTTAGCATAAATTTCAATGGAGAGATATTTTCCTAAAGCGTCTTCCAAGCTCCCAAAACTAAGTTCAACATCTCAAGATTCAATTAACTTGGAAGAAGGCGCAAATGAGCCAGAACAACATCGTCAGAATGAAAGGGCTGATTTGAATTCCTTAGAGACTGATCCCCGAGAAAGATTAGCTATTCGAAAATATCATCCAAAAAAGAGAATATCTTCAAAGAGGTGTTTTCCGACCTTGAAATCATAACTTTCCTCAAAGAAATCTTTACGGTAAAATCATTTTAATCCTCAATGGTTTGATGAGTATGAGTGGTTGGAGTATAGTGTAACAAAAATGCAGCTTTTTTGCTTTTATTTTTATTTGTTTCAAGATGAATACATCAATCAAGGGGGAGTAGATGAAAAGTATAGGATTTACAAGTTGGAATAAGAAGAACATATTTGATATGCATATTGGTGGACCAAGTTATATTCATAATCAGTCAAGAAAGAATGTTGATGATTTATTAAGACAAAAACAATCAATTCAAAGTGCATTTGCCAAACAATCTGATCAACAAAAATTAGAATATCAGACTCATTTAGAAGTTGCGGCTGTTGATGTGATAAGATATCTTTTGACCCAAGGACTATCATTTCGTGGACATCGTGAAGATGAATCATTTATTAATAGAGGTAACTTTATTGAACTTGTTAAATGGTATACTGAACGATGTAAAGATGTTGGTGATGCACTTAAAAGATCTCCAAAGAATAATCAATTGAGTTCTCCATATATTCAAAAGGATATTATCATTGCATGTAAATGGGAACAATTGAATGTGTTATTAGTTGAGGATTTAAATGATAATTATTTTTCCATTTTAGTTGATGAATCTCGTGATGTATCATGTAAGGAGCAAATAGCTATTGTTTTGCGTTATTTTGACAGAAGGGGAAGTGTGGTTTATTGGTATTGGTCATGTTCGTGGTACTGCTATTTTATCTCTAAAGAATGAAATCATTGGTTTACTTGCTCGACATTTTTTAAGTCCATTTCATATATGTGGACAATGTTATAATGGAGCAAGCAATAGAAATGAGATATAAATGGACTTAAAATCTTGATGCAACGAGAAAGTAAAGGTGCTCATTCAATTATCAACTTCAATTAACTTTGGTTGCAATTTCTACAGGATGTGATAAAGTGCAAGAACTCTTATTATTAGTTTCCGATATATTGAATATGGTAGGAGCTTCTTTTAAGCTTAGAGATGAACTTCGTGAGTCTCAAGAAGAAGAAATTGAAGAAGTATTACGTAAAGATGAGCTTGAAACTTGTAGGGGCTTGAATCAAGAACTAGGACTTACTAGAGCTGGTGATATTCAATGGGGTTCTCACTACAAATCCTTTAATAATTTTATTCTTATGTTTGGCCCTATCATTGATGTACTTGATGCTCTTACTGTTAATGCACATTTTGAAAAAAAGTGTAATGCAAAGGAATATCTTTAAACATATTTAACATTTGAAGTAGTCTTTATATTGCATTTCATGTGCAATGTATTGGCAATCACCAATGAGCTTAATGTAGCCTTCCAAAAGAAGGATCAAGACATTATAAATGTCATGTTACTGGTTGGAGTCGCAAAGGAACGATTGCAACTAATTCGCTAATTGATGAAATATATAAATTTTGTATCAAAAATGATATTTTGATTCCTAAATTTGATGAGCTTTATACTATTCTTGGAAGATCTCATCGTAAAGTTATTGATTATACTGTGTTACATCACTATCGTATTTGAAGTAATTACTGGGTTCTTGCCCAGTTTGAAGAGAATAGAAGAAGAGAAAGAAGTGGAAGAAAAGAGAGATAAAGAGAGGCGTTTAGAAGAGAATGATATGAGTTATTTCACTTAGTCTAATGTATACATCATGAGGGAGTATATATAAGTATAATTATACTCCTTTTCTAACTAACTCTAACAACTAGGATTAGTAGCTTGTAACTAATTAACTAGCACTAGAAAATTACAAAACTGCCCTTTTATTCTTTGATTGTGTTATATCTTTCTCTACACTCTCCCTCAAGCTAGGTACTAAAAACACATTGAGAACACCTAGCTTCGAAGAAAGATATTCATATTGCATCTTGTTGAGAGCTTTGGTTAAAATATCTGCAGGCTGTTCTTTGGTAGATATGTATGTTGTTTTGATTAACTCTTGCATGATTTTTTCTCTAATGAATTGACAATCAATCTCGATGTGCTTTTTTCTTTCATGATAAACAAGATTAGCTGCATTCTGCATTGCAACTTTGCTATCACTGAACACTTCAACTGGTAGCTTGATATCAATTCCTACTTCCTTTAGTAATCTAATTAGCAAGATAAGTTCTACCACAGTTATTGCAAGACTTCTATACTCAGCTTCTACTAAGCTTCTTGAAAATGTAGTTTGCTTCTTTGATTTCCATGATATTAAGGAGTATCCAAACTTGACTAGATAACCTGAAACAAATTTCTTTGAATATGGGCAGGAAGCCCAGTTTGTATCACAATATGCTGAAATATTGTTGTTGATTTTACTAGAGAGTAGTATTCATCGTCCTGGACTATTTTTGATGTGCTTTACAATTCTTAGAGCTGTTCCATGTGAGATTTTTTTGGTATTTGAAGAAACTGACTTAGTGTTTGTACACTATATGAAATGTCTGGCCTTGTCATTGTTAGATACAATGTCACCCCCCTAACCTGGACCCGGTCATGATGGTGCCTCTCGGGAAGACAAGGCCAACCGACACTTTCCATTTTCCAATTATTAATAGTTAAGCATTTAAGAAACGATCTAAACATGATAAAATAAATCCGAAATAACCATGATAACATAAATACGCGGAAGAACACCCATACACAGCCCTAACCGGGGTGTCACTAGTCATGAGCATCTATAAGTCATAATACAAATCCGCTAAGTCAATAAACCAGTACAACTATCTGAAAAAAGATAGAAGTGATAAAGGAGTAGAGACACAGGGCTGCGGACGCCAACAACTACCTCGTGAACTCCGAATGTCTGCCTGAAGTTGGAGGGATCAGCACTCGGGAGCGAAACCAGCTACACCTGAATCTGCACACAGGGTGCAGGGAGTAAAGTGAGTACTCCAACTCAGTGAGTAACAAATGTAAATAAAGACTGAAAGCAAAAAATCACGCAAGGCACAAAGCATTCTATAATGAAGCAGTAAAACCAAGTAAAGCCAGTAAATCAGTGAAAGATAGGTAAAATTCTTTATCTCAGATGTAATTTCATGAAAAGCCTTTTTCCATACTTAAGCAGGTAAATGACAGTCAATTATGAAAAATAAACACATAAAGGCTCGCCCCTCTGGCACAGTATCAACAAATCCGCTCCTCGGGCAACATCTCAGAACAGTACCAGCCCCTCGGGCTCAAATCTCACATCACAATATCAGCCCCTCGGGCTCAATCTCACATCACAATGGGTACTCGCGCTCACTAGGGGTGTACAGACTCCTGGAGGGCCCCCTTACGGCTCAAGTGCAATATCAAGCCACCTCGTGGCATCATCACTAGGCACTCAGCCTCATATCAATCAAACCACCTTGTGGCGTACATATTTTAGTCCCTCGGCCTCATAATCAGTATCAAATATTTCCTCACAACATAGGCTCTCGACCTTACTCAGTCAAAAATCCTCACAAGCCACTCGGGCAGTAGTAAAACATGTTTCTCAGCCCAAAAATATTGTTTAAAAGATCATGTAAGTGTTAAAACAGAGTAAACATGGCTGAGTACAAAAGAAACAGTGAAATATAACATGACTGTGTTCAAGTATAAAGTCAAAACAGTGAGGAAATACCAGTAAAATTCTTCGAAAGGTTCAAATAGTTGGCACAAGGCCCAAATATGACATTCAGCCCAAATAATGATGATAACAAATAGATTTCAGTCAAATACGCGGTAAAATCATCAATCGGTATGGACCAAGTCACAATCCCTAATAGTGCACGACCCCATGCTCGTCATCAAGCGTGTGCCTCACCTCAATATAGCACTACGATGTGCAATCCGGGATTTCAAACCCTCAGAACATCATTTACAATCATTACTCACCTCGAACCGGTCAAAGCTCTAGCTCGTGACACCTTTGCCCGTCGAATCGGCCTCCACTCGCATCAAATCTATCCAAAATCAGAACGAGGACATCAAAATATGCTAAGGGAACGAAGCCCAAGCAAAAATAATCAAAATACGACACAAATCCCGAAATTACCAAAACTCGACCCCTAGGACCACTTCTTGGAATTCGACAATTTTTACATCAATAGATTCCTTATCCTCCCACGAGTCTATACATATCAAGAACACTGAAATCGGAGTCCAAATGACCCCTCAAATCCCCATTTAGAGGCCTCTTAAACTCAAGCCCTAATCCCCAATTTTTCTTCCTTAATCTCTACTAAAACCATGATTAAACAATGGAAAAATGATCTTAAACCCAAGTAATTAAGCTTAGGGAACTTACCCAATTGATATCCTTGGATTCCTCTTGAAATCCTATGCCTTAGCCTCTTTCCCATCTTCAAAAATGATAAACTTAGCAAAATTTTGCGAAGAAGACAATTTATACCTTATGCTCAGACCTTTTCGCATATGCGGTCCCATACATCGCTTTTGCGGTACCACAATTGCGGTTCAACATCTGCTTTTGCGGAATCACTTAAGTTCCCAACCATCCGCATCTGCGATTCCTCGCCCGCATCTACGACATCGCAGATGCGGTTCTCCTAGCTGCTTCTGTGGTCCCAGTCAAGCATACCTCTGGTCGCTTCTGCAACCACTCTCTGGCATATGCGGCACCGCACCTGCGGTCCCCAATCCGCAGGTGCAAAAATACCAAAAGCAGCAATTCAATAGCTGCAACAACAATCCAAACTTCCCGTTAACCTTCCAAATCACCCTAAAGCCCGCGGGACCTCAACCAAAAGCACAAACATATCCTAATACCTTATTCAAACTTGTTCCAATCATCAAAACACCTCAAACAACATCAAATCACCCAAAACACATCGGATTCAAGCCAACTTTCCAAACTCTTCCGAATTCCGCTTTTGATCAAAACCCCAACGAAACCACGCCCGAATGACCTGAAATTTTGCACACACATCCCAAAAAACACAACAAAACTATTGCAACTCTCAGAATTTCATTTCGACCCCTATATCAAAATCTCGCCTACCAACCGGAAATCGCCAAAATATCAACTTCGCCAATTCAAGCCTAAATCTACTCCGAACCTCTAAAACCCATTCCGATCGCACTCCTAAGTTCCAAATTACCTCCCGAAGCTAACCGAACCATCATAACTCACATCCGCGCCCTCTAATACATAAGTCAACATCCAGTTGACTTTTCCAACTTAAACTTCCTTAAAAGAGACTAAGTGTCTCAAACCTTGCCAACATCATTCTGGATTAGATCCGACCAACACGATACCACATAACACGGATAACAAAGCATAAAGAAGCAGAAATGGGAAAAACAGAGCGATAACTCATGAGACGACTGGTCGGGTCGTCACATACAAGAGTTTACCTATCAGCCTTTAATAAGGAGTTAAGTCTGACAGTTCTTCATCCACCAAAGTAGTAGGCTTAGTTTTCCTAAGATGTATATCATATTCTGTTGTTGTAAGTTTCATATTTGCATCCAGTGGTGTAATTGCTGGATTAGCAGCTACAATTCCTGTCTCAGAAATAAGTTCCAAAGCATATTTCCTCTGGTGCATAAGAATTTCTTATTTTGATCTAGTAAACTCTATACCTAAGAAGTATTTCAATTCTCCTGGGTCTTTTATTTTGAAAGGCTGTTGCAAATGTGTTTTGGTTTCCTCTATTAGTTCTAGAGAACTAGTGACAAGCATGTCATCTACATAGATTAAGACCATTGTAATACCTTCTACAGTTTTCTTAAAGAACAGAGAATGATCATATTGACTTTGCTGAAATTGAGAGCCCAATAATGCTTCTGTCAGTTTAGCATTCCATTGTCGTAGAGCTTGTTTAAACCATACAAGGATTTAACAAGTCTACACACTTTATTCTCCCCCTAACTTGTGAATCCTTGTGGCAGAGTCATGTATATTTCATCCAGTAAATCTCCCTACAAGAAAGCATTATATACATCTATTTGATGTATATGCTAGTGTCTTGTAGCAGCTATAGCTAGCACAATCCTTACAGTTTTCATTTTTATGACTGGAGAGAAAGTTTCTTGATAGTCTATTCCCTCTTTTTGGTTGAACCCTTTGGCTACTAACCTAGCTTTAAATCATTCTATGTCACATGATACCTTGTATTTGATTTTATAAATCCACTTGCACCCTATTGGAGTCTTACCAGTAGGTAGTGTTACTATGTCCCATGTGTGGTTGTTTTGTAAAGCTTCAATCTTAGCCTTCATTGCATCCACCCATTTAGGATCTTTCAC